AGAGATGGAAGACCTTGCCTACCAGTGCGGATTGGAGGACGCAGACGCGCAGAACATCTTGGCCAAAGGCTACTCAACGCCGGCAATCTTTGGCCACTCGTTCCAGACCGGCGACGAGCTTGACCAGTTCATCCTCTACTGGACAACAACGAAGGCCTTGCCCCCCCCAAGCCAGAAGCGGTCAACTGCTTGAAGCAGCTTGCGGCAACTGGCACTGTGGCGTTTGCCCTTTCAACACCCCCTGCGTGGGCCAATGACAACTCTACACACCCATGCCGAGCTGATCCGGCGACGGCGCAGGATGTGCTGAACATCTTGGACATTTGCTTGAACATGCTGGAAACATTTTGGGTCCATGGCTCCCATATTGGCATCGTGATGCCTTTGACCTGCACGTCTTGGCATGAGCCCATCGTGGAGAGCTTCATGCCGCGAATCCCTGTGGGCGTTGGAATTTTCTCGCAGTGTGAGTATGTCACTCGCAGTGTGAGTATGTCAAGGAGGAGGACATGGTTGGTTCCAAATGGGCAATTTTGACGACTTATGAACCTGTTTGGGCTTTGGCAAGCCCTTGCCACCATTCTTTCCGACATATGGCGGAAGCGACCGCGGCTCATTACCCAAGTCAGATGCTCAAGGACGTGGCAGCCGTCATAGCTCCGGCCCTTTCGGCCCACGTTTTTGGACAATTCGTTTGCCTTCGTGAAGCAATCGCCACCCTGCCAACAACGGCAGAGACTAGATCCAAAATCCGGAACGAGCCGGTGGCTGACGGTGGTGGTTTGCCTTCTTCAGGAGATTGGTCTACACCGTGCGGACAGGATGTTTTCCAGATGTTGCGAAAAGCTTGGCTGACAGTGCTGCTGGAAGAGAACTGCTTCCAGGCCCTCAAAGCCCACAAGCCGGCGCAATCGGTAGTTTCGCCAGCTTGCCTGGAGCGACTGGTCCAAGTAACTGTCGTTTTTCTACGCGAAAAGGGCATCCTGGCAACCTCTACCATTGCGCAGCCCTTCCGACTCCAGTTGTTGGAGGGTCTGGCACGACTAGCCGAAGACCGCGACAGTGCTCTGCCGCACGTGCTGGAAACGGGTGTCCCAACAGGAATTTTGCAACCTATCCCAAGTTCTGGGATTTGGCCCCCAAGGGACACTTCAGACTTGGTAGACAGTCAGGCTACGAACTTCGGGTTGTCCTCCCATGCCGGGAATTGGGCAAGCGCCTTGGAAAACCCAACCTTAACAGACAACCTCGTGCAGGCTGAGATTTTAAATGGGCTGGGTGCAAGTGGCCCCGGGAGACGCTCAAACGGCCATGGCAGAATGGCAAGGCCCTTTGGCAGTGGGCAAGCTGGGGGTTGCCAATGCCACAGGCAAAAAGCCGAGGCTTGTTCTAGACTCGACCGTGTCTGGAGCAAACGCCCAGGTTCGACTCCAAGAGCGGACCTTCAACCCAACAGTTTTCGACTTGTCCAACACTTTTTCGCCACGGCCGACCCAGGAGGAATTTGTATTCTTCAGCGCCGATGTCTCAGCAGCGCACAAGCGCATCAAACTGCGGCCAGCGGAGACTGGCCTGGCCGCATTTGTCTGGCGCAATCGTCTGCACACCTATCAGGTTTGCCACTTTGGCGCTGCCTACAGCGCTTATTGGTGGGCGCGGGCTGCTGCCCTAATGATGAGACTTCTGCACTTGCTGCTGTTTGCCCCGCGCACGGGCCTGATGTACGTGGATGACATGCTTTGGAAGTTGCCGCGCAATTGGTATGAAATCCAGGTGGCCCTTATTATTTCCTTTTTGCAAGTCATCAACATTCCAATGTCTTGGCCCAAGTGTGTGCTGGACCCGGAAGTCCTTTGGATTGGATGGAGATTGTCGGCCCGCGACTTTTCGATCCGCATGGACTCAACCAAGCAGGCCAAAATCTTACACTTGTGCCGCCGCGTGCTTGAACAAGCCAGGCCACTACGAACAGAAGTGGAGGCCCTTGCAGGATTGCTTCTTTGGGCCTTTCAGGTTTGGCCCCTTCTGAAGCCTTGGCTTGCTTGGATTTACAGGGATTTAGCTGTCCCCCAGATGGCCCCACGATGGGTGAGCAAACGCGTCCTTGCAGACCTTTTGAGCTGCTGCAATGACCGTTTGCACGTGAACCAGTACTCTGAGGGTCACCGCATCATGTGTGATTCCAGATTGAAGCGAATTGCGCAAACGGATGTTTCAAGAACGGCAAGTTGCGCAAGCTTTCAGAGGTGGCTGGATCATACTTTTAGATGCCCGTTCCAAGGTCGTCTTGCTCGGCGAGCAGTCCCGTGACCTGATCCGCCGAGTGCAAACCATGGCCTCTGATGCTTGCGCGTCAGGCACTTCAGTAGGCATCGGAGCCTGGGTTCAGCTGGATGCGGAAACTATTTTGTGGGCAGCTCTATCCTTTTCTTTGGGAGATTTTCCCCGACAAGATTGGATATCGGCGACAGATGCACAAAAGATGATCTCCTCCTGGGAGACGGGTTTACCCCTCCCCTTACCCCTCCCCACAGGGGTGCCCCCCTGTGCCGCCGACTTTCTTTCCCCCATATGTATCAGTTCATAGTGGGCCGGCAGGCTCAAGAAACACAATTCGGCTCTTGGGGTACCCCCCCCCCAAGCATGGGCCCCAACTTGGGCCCAGTTTTGCGCAAACACTGGAAAACACTGTGCTTTTCTACGTTTTTGACGGCTGGAAAGGCGCAAAATGTGGAAACCTGCTTAACAGTGAGGCTATACGGATCCCCATCTAAGCTCGGTTTTGGGCATGGTTTTCGCTCAAGACATGAGCAAAACACTGTGTTTTTGACACTTTCGCGTGGGCGCAAGGCCTCGGAAAGCGTGAAAAACATAAGTTTTTTGCGGAAACCTGCTTATTGGTGAGGCTTCACTGGCCCCCGCCAAACCCGGCTTTGGAGATTGCATTGCCTACAGCGAAGTGTCTCGAAATAGTGAGTGAGTGAGTGAGTGAGTGAGTGAGTGAGTGAGTGAGTGAGTGAGTGAGTGAGTGAGTGAGTGAGTGAGTGAGTGAGTGAGTGAGTGAGTGAGTGAGTGAGTGAGTGAGTGAGTGAGTGAGTGAGTGAGTGAGTGAGTGAGTGAGTGAGTGAGTGAGTGAGTGAGTGAGTGAGTGAGCGAGCGAGTGGGTGAGTGTGTGTGTGTGTGTGCGTCGAGTTGATGTCAGTGTGTGTTGTGACGTTGCAATGGGAAAGGTACTTACAACTGGCATGTTTTGGAGGCGCGGGCATTCTGCATGCAGATTGATTACCGTGGCCAACTGGCCGAACGGCTGTGTCAGATTACCACCTTGGTCCTTTGGAGCAAGGCTCTAGAGCGAAGCTCTATGGGGCTGCCGCATGGTGCCGCCGACCCTTTGCATGCCGAGGATGCGTGAAAAGGAAAGTGATGAGCATCACCTGCATCATCTGCTTCTGGCGGGTGCGTTTTTGGGCTTGTTTTTGGGTCTGCAGCCTTGGGCTTGCAAGTCTGCGGTCTTGCCCCGGTGATGTGGGTGATGCTGGTGATGCTGGGGATGTTGCTGGGAGCTGCCTTCCACGCGGCGTCCTGCTGCAGCCTTGAAACACCGGAAAAACACGTGAATATGCAGGGCTTTTACTGCAAAAAACCGAGGAAAACGTTTGGTTTTGACGTGCGTTTTGCGTGGCAACTGGCCCCGGCGTGCGTGCGCGTGACGTGCGCGTGCTTGCGCGCATGCGTGCGTGCTTTCGTGCGTGCGTGTGTGCGCGCGCCTGCGTGCGTGGGTGGGTGGGTGGGTGGGTGGGTGGGAGGGTGTGCGTGTGTGTGGGGTGCTTGCGTGACGTGCGAGTGCGTGCGCGCGCGTGTGTGTGTGTGTGTGTGTGTGGTGGGTGCGTGAGCGCGTGGGTGGGTGTGTGTTGTGCGTGAGTCTGGTGTGTGTGTGTGCCTGTGTGTGGGTGCGTGCGTGGGTGTGCGTGCGTGCGTGAGCGCGCGTGCGTGCCCGCGTGTGTGCTTGTGCCCGCGTGCCTGCGTGCGTGCGGGCGGGCGGGCGGTGAAGGGGACATGGCGAAATGTCGGGAAATGGCTAGAAAATAGATGGGAAACGTGGAAGATGGATGGAAAACTGAGGGAAGATGTTTGGAAAATGGATGTGTGTATGTGCGCAAGTAAGGAAATGTAGGTATGTTTATGTTGTTGTTGTTGTCGCTGCTGCCTGCTTTGCCGTCCTTGCAAGAGCTCTCAGTTTGAGCCTCGCGATGCTGCCACGGCCGGTTGTGCGCCAGCAACGTAAATCCGGCCGCGCCCCCCGAAGGGGGCGAAGAGGCTGTGTGTAGATCCCTCCCACCCGCTGGGGAGGGGTTTACCCCTCCCCTTATCGGCTCTTGGGGGTACCCCCCCGAGCATGATCCCCAACTTGGGCCCAGTTTTGCGCAAACACTGGAAAACACTGTGCTTTTCTACGTTTTTGACGGCTGGAAAGGCGCAAAATGTGGAAACCTGCTTAACAGTGAGGCCATACGGATCCCCATCTAAGCTCGGTTTTGGGCATGGTTTTCGCTCAAGACATGAGCAAAACACTGTGTTGTTGACACTTTCGCGTGGGCGCAAGGCCTCGGAAAGCGTGAAAAACATAAGTTTTTTGCGGAAACCTGCTTATTGGTGAGGCTTCACTGGCCCCCGCCAAACCCGGCTTTGGAGATTGCATTGCCTACAGCGAAGTGTCTCGAATAAGAGTGAGTGAGTGAGTGAGTGAGTGAGTGAGTGAGTGAGTGAGTGAGTGAGTGAGTGAGTGAGTGAGTGAGTGAGTGAGTGAGTGAGTGAGTGAGTGAGTGAGTGAGCGAGCGAGCGAGCGAGTGAGTGTGTGTGTGTGTTGAGTTGATGTCAGTGTGTGTTGTGACGTTGCAATGGGAAAGGTACTTACAACTGGCATGTTTTGGAGGCGCGGGCATTCTGCATGCAGATTGATTAGTCGTTGAAAACATGACATCCTGGTTCGACCGACACTTTCAGGCGCGCTTTTTCGAATGGCTCTCGCTGTTCTGTCGCCGCTCAGGGCTGTCCCGCCGCGGCCTTGCATCTTTTGCAAGTCCACGATGGGAGCCTGCTTCGCATGTACTTCCCGCCCCGGGGGCGCTCTTGACCACAGGGCAGGGAGGATATCGGCACTTCGCGCAGATGTATGGCTTCTGCTTCGGCTCCAGCGGCCTTTCCTTGCACAGTGTGCACTCAGGGAAATCGCAAGCTTGACATTTCCACTCTGTCCGCACTTTGCACCGTTGCCTGGCCAGGCTGTACGCACTTGCTGGCTTCGTAACTCTGCACGCCGTGCACTGGACCCAAGCCTGACCTGGCTTCAGCTCCTCACTCTGACAAAGCCCACACACTGCCAGGTGTAAGAGATTGTCTGCCTCCAGTTGCTTGAGCTTCGCTGTGTCGAAGTGCCGCGGCGCCTTGTGCATTGCGCAAGGCCCATAGCATTTGTACTCCTTCTGTTGCCATACTGCCTGCGTCCGTTTGGGCGCACTGCTTGTGCACACACTGCAGACTGCCCGCCGCTTCAGATCCTTTTGCTTCTTTAACTCCAAGACCCGCGCAAGCGGAAACTTGCTCAAGGGCTTTTCTGTTGCACAGGTGCGGCACCGCAGCGCCTTCTTGGCGCAGGAGCTGCAAAGCTGTCCAGACTTGCTTCCTTGGCAGAAGGCACAGGCAGCGCCTGCATCAGGAGCTGCTGGCTCTGGCTGTGGTGGCTTCCCTTCCGTGGCATACAATGCCTTGCGTTGCTGGGCAAGCAAGCAGTTGCTGCAGAGCTGGTCCATTCCCAGAGCAATGAGCTTATGCCAGACGTCGCTGCTGTTGCATGGCGGAAAGGCTTTGCGAGGTAGGCGCATCTCTTGTTCAGCACGGTCGGAGCACCCACGGCAAAACAAGGGCATGGCATCTGGCCAGCTGCCTCCACGGGCACGCTTCTTGGTTTGTGCGGACCACGCTCGGGCCACTTCCTCTTCGTCCAATCTCCCTTGGAGAAATTCAAGCAGAAGCTTTGGCCCTAGCAAATCGCCCTGTCGAAAGAGATCTGGGGCAAAGGGCTGCACGATGCACGCGTCTTGGGCTTCCCGGACGCGAGACAAGCACATATATCCGGGCAGCTGAGCATCTTTGCTCGGTCGGTGATCCCAGGCCATGCAATCAAGCAGACAGCTGCGCAATGTGGCTCCCATGAATGAGTGTGCTGTCCCGCTGAAGTCGGACGCCACAGGAAAACCATGTCGTTGAACTTGCACTTGCTCGCTTTTTTTCGGGCGACCAGATCTGCGTAACCGGATCAATGCCGATGATGCCTTCGCCAAGGTCGGCGTGCACAGCCCATTGGGCCCCATCTCCGGAACTTGCCCCAGATATGGGGCCTTTAACAACTTCTCTTGGATGTGTGCTTCCCACTCCTTTTCCAGCCTCTCATGCAGCGACGAAAGATGCTCAGCCGTGGCACGCTGCAGCGTTGCTTCTGCCGCCGCTTGCGCTCCTGGCTCCAAGCTTGCGACCGCCACCAAAGGCTGGATGTGCGCCAGCCATGTGGACTTCGCTGCAAACTCCCGAATTGCCTGTAAGCCGTGTTCACGACACCACGCAGCGCGCAGATCCTGCAAGTGCTTCTCAGACGGGGCAAAGTTGGGCTCCATCAAGCCGATCACTTGCTCCTGGAAAGCAGCTCGAATCGCCTGCTCAAGTGCCTCAAGCTGCTCCGCAGGCCCCGCTTCGTATTCGCGCAAGACTTCCGCCGCTGCAAGCTGTGAGTGCTCTGGCCAGGTACTCAAGCACAACGTGTCACGCAGCCGACTCGGCGCCTCCTTTACTTGCTCAGGTGGCTGTTTGGCCTCGACCTCCGTTATGGCCTCCGCCTCTTTCCCAACTTCCCCATCATCGGTCCCTGGCGGTGAGCTGCCTACTGTCTTCTCCTGTGGCTCGTCTTCATCGCTCACCTCCTCCACCTTGCGCTCCTCTGCCAT